ATATTTCTATCAACTCTATCTCCAACATAATCTCTAACCCTCATATCATGCCTATCTCCTCTATTCTTCATCCTTTCTATTTCAGCATCCACTAATGCATCATCATCAATTCCACTACCCGCTTCATTTTCACAACCAATATTCACTCTAAGATCCCGTCTTACCTTGCCTTCTTGTCTTAGGAACTTCTCTAAGTTGTTCCATACGCAAATTAGTAAGCATTGTATCTTACCTCTCCATTCACGCCTCTTGCCTATTCATTATATCTCCCATATCACCAAAAAACCTTTCAAATCGTCGTATCATCTCCTCCTTCATGATAACTTGACTATTATTCCCGCTTGAAGTAGCATCGTCTTTGTCAGACATCCTAAATAGAGAATAATATCTATCTCACATGTACAACTTGTGTATCACTCAATTTGTCTTTTCCCTCTATTAGTTTCACAACTCTACATTTTTTCCACTCAATGCTTCCTCGCAAATGTTTCAAAGAATTAATACGACTTCAATAAAAAATTCAACCTTTATAGAGTTCAAACAAAGAATTAAGAAAAGTGACTCTAGAATGATTCAAAAATTAGAAATTTGAACTTTAAATGGAAACGCCAAGGATAAATTCAAGGAAGTGTTTCTTCAATTTGGACTAGGCACTTTTCTTTTTTTTTTTTTTACTAAATGGGCGACAATTCAATAAAGAGCCCAAAAATTAAAAATGAATTGATTTGGGCACTAATTTGGTGCACAAACAACTTTTTAATTTTTTTTTTGGTTTTTCAATTGGATTGAATGGCCAAAAGATGAAGAACACAAAAAACGAAAATGAAGACTACAAAAAAGGAATTAAATTATATAACCCTAATTTTTGGAATCAGGGTATCAACAGATGCGAATTCATATAGCAATTGAAGTTACGAAACCTACGACATATTAGATCAAAATCAAGAAAGCCAATAATCCACATTTGAAAAGCTCGACCCAATAAATTATTAAATCAAAGAACCAAAATAATTGCCAACAATATCTTCACTTCATAATTACAAAACTTATGAACATTACTTAAATTGTTGAACGCCACAAAAATTTAATTCTTGATAAGTTCGGATTTAATTCAATAAAGAACGAGTTGAAATCAATATGTCTCGCAATAATATCTCTCAAATTGTGTGTTTTTACAATGAAAATAATAATCCTATTTATATGAAATCTATAAAACCTAGTTAAAACGGAATTGGTCCTAAAAGATACAATAAAAAAGTTTTAACCAAAATAGAAGTTTAGGTGAAATTTAGGAAAAACACGTCTAGAAATGTACTATGCAGCCGCATAGGCTCCCTGCATGCGGTCGCATGGGCCAATTGACAACCTTAAGTTTTGATTCGAATTTGGCCTTAGCCTCTCCCCAACTTATATCGAACCATTGATAGCTTGTTGCATTCCTTTGATCCCATCACAGCAGAAAAAAAAAACAAAGAGCCTATTTCATTTTTTAGTTTTCTTGATTGTAGCCACCTTCATTGTAACCATTTGATTTTTTAAAAGGCTCTGTGGGACTGAATTCTGACAAGTTTATCGATTACGTTTGTATTATGCATGTAAATGTTGATTCTTTAGTAATTTTTTTTTCCTTCGAGACGGCAAAACTTTTCACTTTATTGTACTAATTTTACTATAGCCTTGCTATTATCCTCAACACTATTTTTGGTTTTTCTCTGAGATGTATATTTAAATTTAATAATGATGCGGATGATGTCTAATGGCTTGAATAAAACTCGTAATTGATTACTTCAAAGGGCACTAAAACAATAAAAGAGAGAAGTGACAAAAGTAGAAGTTTTGTAGATACTTTTTACTTTGATGATGGGCCACTTTTGGTCTCACCTCTTATTGGGCCCATAGCCTAGTGGCCCACATGGTTATCTCTAGAGCACACCGAAGAAGTCATCAGCCGCGTACTTGTTGATCACCCACGTGAACGCTTCCACTATATAGTATATACCATAATAATTTGGTTATATTCCACTCGGGATCCTCAATCTTTTAATGTATCGCTCATTTTTTATTCTATCATTTGTCACACGAATTCTCTTTCTATTTTTTTAAATTGCATGTCCAGTATCTCCAACTTGTGGCACTTACAAGATGTTGAAAATTGGTATTTTTTTGTTTATTTTATTAATAACATAAATAAGTTGGTGTTTGTTTCTGATTTTGAGAATTGATTTTCAAATCAATTCTCATTTTCAACCACACATTTTTCAATAAAATAATATTTTCCATCACATCAATAATTTTTTCTTCTTTTTCAACCACACATTTCCCATCATATCATTATTCAAAATCAATTTTTCCCCCAAAAAAAAATCATTTTTCATTTTCAACCACACATTCTGTAATAAAATAATATTTTCCATCACATCAATAATTTTTTCTTCTTTTTCAACCACACATTTCCCATCATATCACTATTCAAAAATCAATTTTTCCCCCAAAAATTCCTACCAACCAAGCACTAAGTAACTTGACTTCTAACTAAAGAAAATAAAATCATACTCTGTCTAAAAAATAGAAATACAATGGTGTACTCATGAGGACATATCTCGAGTTTGGACATCATACTGCTTGTGAGATATTTGGTCTCTTCATTTTCATCTTGAAGTTTCTAGACAATACAAACTACCGCGATTTATAATCTCATGCACTCAAAAAATGTCTGAATTTGCCTCTTCACCATTCAGTCGAAACAATCATTGCATAGTCTTAGACCCTCTGACTAAAATCATAAGTTGATGTAGTTGTCTCAACTTGAATGACTAAAATATGATCCACTTCAACAAAGAACTATGCGATCCTCAAGTCCCATATAGTCCATACCATAACAAATATGATTTCTAATTTATTAAATTTCAAATCCAAATCTCTCTCTCTCTCTCCTCTCCCTACCCATTTTCTCCATCGGAGGCGGTCATCTACTCCGGCGACTGTTTCGGTGATCACTCCGACGGCCTCTCCGACATTGTTCAGACGATCACTCCGGCGTCCACTCCGATGACAATTCCGACTATTCCAATAACCACTCCAACGCATGCTCCAATCAACCACCCACCCCATCCATTCACTCCCAATTTCCAAAAAAATTCCAGAATTTTAAGTCACAATCAGTCACAACGAGTCACAATTAGCCAGTCACAATTGGTCACATTCGGTCACAACCAGTCACAATCAACACATATTTGGTCGAAATCTCATCCTATGCCACCAAATTCAAACATCGTCGCTGCACCGGAAAAATCATATACAAAATACTACAAATTGGAAAACCATCAACAAAGCACACCGCCGCAACCGCCATTACCACCACCAACAAATTGATTTCTTTAATAGGAATAAGTAATCAAGAACTTTTGCCGATCCACGAATCGAAAAGATTTTTGTTGAGGCTCACATCAAGCAAGGGCAAGAGTTCATCGAGAGAATCCAGAGGCTGAAGAAGCATGTTCCCAACAACCACTACCTCTACCTCCACCTCCATATCTGGCATACCATCACCACCTCTACCTCCACATCCAACTCACCACACCTCACCACCATCGCACAACCAAAAATGCAGTGTCACCACCACGACCACTTGCACCATTACACCACATCACTACCATCACTACCATGTAGATTCGCGACCATGCACATCGCGCCACCTGCACCAGCACTGTCGTACCACTAGCATTGGACCATCACCCATACAGATCTTACTCTACCATCACCACTGCTACGCAGATCTGCAACACACCACCATACAAACATTGCAGTATAATCGATTTTTTGTCTCTGCCACCCCAGTGGCGAAAGAAGATTTCAGCCACATCCGCCATCCCTACAGCGCCTGCTATAGCCCCATCTCTACCACCAGCCACCACTTCTTCTCTGGCACTCTCCCTTCTACCACCAACCACCATTGATTGTGGCTAAAGTTGGGTGGGTGCAACAAGACTTATTGAGAGAGAACAAAGAGATTGAGTGAGAGAGAGAAAACAGGTGATTTAGGAATTTCAAAATCGGGGGTGTGTGGGTGGAATGTCTGCTGCTGCGCTGGAAAATGAGGGGGGGGGTTAGAAAGGGATTACGAACGGTAGCGTTGACTTTGCGACGACATCGTGACACTGCAACATCGGCAACCCATCACGGTTCTCACAGCATTGGCCGGCGACGTCGACTCATTCGTTGTTGTCTCCTGTGCTGGCGATTGTAGGATGACAGAGGGAGAGAGAGAGAGAGAGAGAGAGAGTTGGGAAGAAAATGATAAATTAGTGTTTTAAATTTTGAATAATTATAATTATAAAATATAATTACCACCTGATTTTTGATAAAATAAACTTTACACCTGATTTGTGAATTTGGAAACTTAAATGCATGTTTTCAGGTAATTTTCTCAATAATTAACCCTATGAATCAATCTTTGGGCTCACTTGGCATGATTTTTCATGGCCTTTAAAAAGTCAAAATGAACTTTTGAAATCCAAAAAATATTTTTTGGATTCGTTTGACTAATTTTATGATAGTGCTTTTAATAGTTAGAAGATATTTTAAACGAAATAGATCCAACATGACTTCTTCTAGTTTTTAAATAAAAATTGGAGTAATGCTACATTTTTCCATTGGGATTACAATCTCAATTTAAGTACGTTAGATAATAGGTTAAACGAAATGCGAAACTAAATGATTTATTAAATTTAACCTATCGTTTAAATTCTCGTTGAGACCTCGTAAATTGAGATTGTAATTCCAACTTAAAAATTAAGATAGTTTTACTCAAGAAAGTAAAAGCAAAATTCATGGGAAAAAGGCATTTTGTCTTCATTCCACTAACCACTCTCCATTCCTATAAAATTGGGTATAAATTTAGCCTCCCTCTTCCTCCTCCAACACGGAGAGCGCAGAGGTAGCTCAACTTCCTTTTTCTCTTTAGATCAATCTTCAAAATCAACTAAAATAGATAAAGAATAATGCTATTGAGAAGCTCTTCATCACCACTCTTGAATTCATGGATACCCAGTTCAACAGCCGGGTCATCTCCCGAACCAGATATTTTGCCTCAGTTGACAAGAACCCGATCTGTCTGCTTGACGACGTCGTTTAGTTTTGAAGATAGCCTGGGTAGAAGCACTCTGACGCGACCCGTATTAGAGTCGGATTTCAGAGAGCCTTTGAAGCCCAAGAAGAGTGTGAAGCTGGCAGGTACACCCAAGCCAGTGAAGATCAAGGGGAGAAGAGAAGGGCAGGATGTGGGGTCCGGGTCCATGTTGTTGTCCAGCTTCGGGCTGGGAGCACCGGAGGAAGAAGGGTGTGTAGCGGGGGCAGAGGAGGCGAGGGTGCCACAGGCGGTTGTGATGGGCAGTGGAAGCGGTGTAGGTGGTGGCAGAGTGTGCGGAGGTGGCGGAGGTGGCAGGAGAGGCTCGGATGATGGGTTGGGATCTGGTTCTCAAGATCCGAATAGCCATGGGAATGAGAACACGGATTCTTATTATCAAAAAATGATTGAAGCAAACCCTAACAATTCTCTCTTGTTAGCAAATTATGCCAAGTTCTTGAAAGAGGTACTTAATTCAATTAAATCATCAAGAATTTTTTTTTTTCATTATGTTAAAATAATAATTTAACTTGCATGCAATTTTGATGATATTATTCAATATTAATTTGATTATTGTTTCTTGTAGGGAATTTTTTTTTAACTAGACTGACCAAAATAAATTATTAGTGAAATTACATAAATTTTTTGTGATTGTATTCAAATTCTATACTAGATCAAAATAATCCTGATCGAACTTATCCCAATTTTATACTATTATTGATCAAACTTAGGAATGACAATGGGACTTTGCCAACTCTAATAACTTATCCAAATTCTATACTATTCTTGATCAAAGTACTCCAAATTGTATACCATTCTTGATCAAAATGCTATTAGTTGGTGTGAAACTTGATTGGGGGAAGTTATTTATGTGTTGTGTAGGTTAAAGGAGATTTTGCAAAAGCAGAAGAGTATTGTGGAAGGGCAATTTTGGCTGACCCAACTGATGGCAGTGTTTTATCACTCTATGCTGATCTCGTGTGGCAAACACAAAGGGACGCTGCTCGAGCCGAGGCTTATTTTGATCAAGCTGTGAAAGCTGACCCAAATGACAGGTAATTTTGCCTCTCTATTTGCTTCAAAACATTTTTGCCAAATTGTTAAACCACAAACATGTGCTCACAAGAACACAAACGAAAGAAAGGTGTCGAAGATATTTGCCAAATAGGGATGGCACTGGATGTTGTATTTTGATATGCAAATTATCTTGGTGGTCCATTGAGCCTTTTGGTCAGTATTCGTGATCAGTATCTTGTAGCCAAAATGTACAATGACCTTAACTTTGCTTAGATAAATTACAAGGAATGTGTTAACTAATCTGTTTTTGCTGAATCTAAACACATATTAATGTCCGTGCAGTTATGTGTTAGCATCATATGCTAGATTTTTGTGGGATGCTGAAGACGATGAAGAAGAGGAGGTTGAAAACCGATGTGAAATGGACAATACTAATTCTCCTCCCAAGTTCTTTAAGGAGGCATCTCATTGGCCTCCCTTGGCCGCAGCTTCTTAATCTAAGCTCACTATCTACACTACCCGTGTTACAGTCGTACCATATAATTCCAGACCTCTAGAAAAAGTTAGTCGAGCAACATCCCGTATCTAAATTTTGTCTTTCGGTCTCTCTCTCTCGTCCCACCACAGGTTTATCATGATAACGCTTGGTCTGCTGCTGCTACTGCTACTGCTACTGTCTATTTTCTGTTGTAAATGTGTGAAGAAAAATAAGTAAACTGACTGTAACTTTGTATCTGTAATAATGCAGTTTTCTTTTCAGGCAATTTCCATTCTTCTGGCACAATAAGCACACTTTCTTTAAATAAAATTCTAGCGAGGTCAGTGATGTTGTCTTATTCATTAAATTTTGTAGAATTGAAAATATATCTAGAAGGGTAATAACATTTAAAGCAAGAAAGGACCATAAAAATTTTTGGGGCATCAAAATGCAAGTGGAAATGCCATTTGAATGTCTTGAATTTTCAAATATCTTGTCAAGATTTTAGATAAATAGGAATGAAAAATGCGGTGCAAATTTTAAAAGAAGGGATACTTTGTTTGGTTCGCAAAAGTCTTTGACAATATAGACACAGCTGTTAGGCATATAACCATTGGGTAACGGTAGGTGTTATGCCCTACTTTAGACTTAAAACACTTTTAACATAGCAGTGTCAACGAGATGAGTCGAGCCCCGTGCCAAGGTCGAGCAAAAAGGTTTTGAGTTTTTTTTTGCCCGAGCTGAACCGAGCAAAAGCTCGACCAAAAAATTGAGGCTTGACCCAAGCTTTCAACTCGAGTCGAGCCAGCTCTTTTTTTCTTCGTTCGTGTGAGACAACTGTCTGCAACGTGCAGACAACTACTTTTTAATTTTTTTTTATAGGCTCGGCTCGTCCGGACCGACGAGCCACATGGGTTGGCTCGGCTCGAGCCTTTGTCCCAAGATGGGGCCCGTCTCAGGCATTCTCGAGTTGAGACACGAGCGGCCCGAGCAGCGAGTATTTTGTCATCCCTACTTCTAACATATATTTTGCATTCTATTTATGACATATTTATTATTAAATTAATATTCAATTAAATTCAATAATAGATTTTATAGATTCAAATGTTAGTAACTTGTAAATCACATGAAGTTGTGATTATGAAATACAAATTACATATGATTGCATCTTAAATTATCTGTGGTCGTATGTAATAACAAGATATGAATATCGTTGTTATGGATAGACCATAATGTGTGACATTTCTCACTTTTAAAGTAAGTAGCTGATATCACAAGTTAAAGTGTGGTAACATTTAAATAAACACGTGAATATTTTGTTTCATAACAAAGGGTAATTATCAAATAACGTCCCTACCTTTCATTGTTATTGTGTAAAATGTCAATTCCTTTTATTTTTTGGCATTTTCACCATTCATTGCGTAAAATGTCATTTTCTCATATTTTCTCATTTAAAAATTATGAAATGACGAATATACCCTTCTTTGAATAAAACGTCCATACTTTTCATTTTTTGACATTTTCACCCTTATTTCTACCATTAATTACGCAAAATGTCATTTTCACATATTTTCTCAATTAAAAATTATGAAATGACGAATATACTCCTCTCAACCACATTCCCAATTTGTTTTTAAAAAGTGCAAATAAGTCATAAATAAATTATTAAAAGGGTAATTAGTACATAATGTCCGTATCTTTCACTGTTATTGCGAAAAACGTTCATACCTTTTATTTTATTTTTTTTGGCATTTTTACTCTTAATTACACATTTAATTGCGCAAACTAACATTTCTATCCATTTTTATTCAATTTCTCAATAAAAAGTTGTGAAATGACGAATATACCATCATATTTAAATAAAAAAAAATAAAGAATTAATTGCAATCATAGTCCTATTATTTTAAAAAAAAGTGAAAACAAGCCCTAATAAATTATTTGAATTTTTTTAAAGGTGCAAACGAGTCCTAATAAAATTTATTTAAAAATTAAAAAATGCAAACGAGTCTCAAATAAATTATTAAAGAATTAGAAATTAAACAAAAGTTATTTAAATACGAGGATATATTTTTCATTTCACAGCTTTTTATTGATAAATTAGATGAAATTGGATAGAAATGATGGTTGTGCAATCAAATGTGTAATTAAGAGTGAAAATGTCAAAAAAAAAAAAAGAAAGGTATTTATGTTTTTCGCAATAAGGGTGAAAGATGAGGACATTATGTATTAATTACTCTTTTAATTATTTATTTGTGATTTATTTGTACTTTTTTTTAAAAAAAAAAAATTAGATTGTTGTTGCAATTAGTTTTTTTATTTTTCCTTTTTATGCCAATAACCAAACCAAATTTTCTTGACAGCACTGCAATTTGAAAATCGTTCTCATGTATGAAAAAATTGATTTTATCCTTGAGCAGGCATTTTCAAAGATACCCATTGAGGACTTGATTGAGAAAGATGTGTCTGCTTATAATAAACACAGTGATAACAATAGTACTGCAACATGTGTTATGCTTGCAGCTATGTCCCTAAGTTACAAAAGTAATATGAGGGTATAAATGTTAACACAATAATTTTTCATCTCAAAGAGTTAAACGATGATTGTGAACAATCACGTGTGGAAAGATATGAGATTTCCTAGCAACTATACCAGTGCATAATGGTAGAAGGATCTTCAATCATGCTCAAGTACTGAAGATGATTGACAATGCTGAGAAGTTGTTTCAATTATGTTCAATTATGGAATATGCACTAAGTATTGACTTGGTTATGCAATCTTAACATTAATAAGCTCGAATGTATACTCACCAAGTTGTTGAACATACTTAAGACTGTTGAGCCTAACATCAAAGTTTGAGTGGGCGAATCTTAGTCATTGATTCCTCTAAGGGCATTAAGATGAAAAAGGAGGCTTTAGGAAAGAATCTAAGATGCCTAAGACAGTCAAAACGAATAATGACAATATAAAATCTAATAACATTTTTTATCATTATAGAATGATAGGTAATTGGAAATGGAACTTCAAAGGTTACATCGTAGAGCTTGAATGGAAAGAAGTCTTTTGAAGCTCCCATTTCAAGCATCTTTTTGTTGAGGTTTAATATGTCTACTTCATTGGCATCTTGGGTATTTGATACTGAATATGGATCTCATATTTGTATGCAGAAACTGAATAGAAGTAGACCACTACAAAAGGAAGAAGTTGACCTGCACGTGAAAAATGAGCAAATGTTGATGCATTGCTTGTAGGAGCATACTATTTGCCATTGTCTTTAAGCTTAGCATTAGAATTAGAGGAATGCCATGTGTTCTCAACATTACCATAAACATTAATTCAATTCCATGTTTGAAATAAATTGTTGATGTTAAGGAAAATTGTTGTTCATTTTATCTTAATAAGATATTTTGTAGTTATGGTAAAATGACATTTACATTCGAGATACTGAGTGTTCTGTAAAGATTATAGAAATTAAAATGTATAAAAGTAATAAGCTAAATATTACCTAAATCTAACATTACAGACTTGATCACATAAATGAAAAATGCATTTCAAAATTGCATAGAGATAAATAATTTGGATCAAATAATTTTTAATCATTAGACAAATGTGAATCATGCGTTTAGAAAAGATGACCAAATTCCCTTTTATTTGAAAAAGAGAAAGACCTACACAATCACTAGGCCTAATATATAGTAATGTATATGGACCCTTGTGAATTATACTAGATGAAGTTTCTATTATTTTATCACATTTACTAATTACTACTTTAGAAGTAGTCATGTATATTTGATGAAATTCAAGTATGAAACTCTTGAAGGTTCAAGGGATTCAAGTTAGAAGTAGGAAAACAATTGGGTAAAGGCATTTTCACTCTAAGATCTAATTGAGGTAAAGAATACCTTAAATGTGAAGTTTAGATTATCTAAAAGAGAATGAGATTCTCTTGCAGTGGACTTCGACACATACACTGCAACATAATAGTGTATCCGAACGAAGGAATCACATACTATTAGATATAGTCCAATTAATAACAAGCCATGTAAATCTCCCAAATTTTTTTAAGGTCATGCATTGATTGCAGCGTGCTATACACTAAATCAAGTTTTATCTAAATCGGTTAATAAAACTCCATACAAGTTATGGAAGGGAAAAATGCCCAACTTATCTCATATGAAGGTTTGGAGTTGTGACAATTATGTGAAGCCCGAATCGGATAACCTTGAGACCAAATTTGATATATGCATATTTGTGGAATATCAAAAAGACAATTAGATATCGATTCTATAATTCTATTGAGAAGAAAGTATTCATCTCAAAGCATGTCGTATTCTTAGAGAATGAGTTCTTTCTAGGAGAAGACAGTCGGAGAAGAATAGAACTTGAAGGAGTTCAAGGATCCACTAATATAATTGACCAAGTAGATGAACACGAGTCCGATCCACACCTACTGAGGGACAAATTCTTGATCATGAAGTAGAGACTTTTGAGGACACGTCAGTTCCGAGTAAATCTAGTAGGATCATTTGACCTCTTAGAAGGTATAAATTCACGATTACTAATAAGGTAATACTGATGGAGAATGATAAACCTACTAATTACACAAATGTAAAGCCAAGTGTTCACTCAAAGAGATGGCAAAATGCCATGAAATCCGAAATGAACTTAATGCATGTAAAAAAGGTTTGGACCTTTGTCGATCCACTTGATGGAATAAAAACCACATGTTGTAAATGAGTTTATAAGAAAAAGGTCGACAAGGACGAAAATATCAATACTTAAAGAGTTGACTTTGATAAAACATTTTCACCTATAGCCATACTTAAGTCCATTTGGATTTTGCTAACTACATATCATGACTATGACTGTCAAAACTGTATTTCTTAACAGAACTTGCAAGAGGAAGGGTAAATGACACAATTCAAAGATTTTAAATTCAAAGATGCCAACGAGGTATGCAAGTTTGATAGATCCATATATAGATTGAAGCAAGTCTCTAGGAGTTGAAATTTTCGATTTG